GGATCGGGGAGAGGGAGGAGAAGAAGAGGCGCACGGCGGAGAGCGAGGCGGGCGAGGGGGAGGCGGCGAGGAGGGAGGCCGCGGTTGGGAGGACGGCGGCGATGTAGGAGGAGGAGGAGGCGGACTGGGCAGTGGGGGCGCTAGGGTTTGGAGAGGGGAGGAGGGGGTTGAGGTCGACGAGGAGGACTACGCGGTGGGGCTCGCCGGCGATGGCCGTCATGGGTGGGGGCCGGCGGCGGAGGGGGAGGGTTGGGGAATTTGGTTGGAGCAGTAGATCTGTGTGAGGGCTTCAGATTTTCTTTCTTTTTCTAGTGTGGGCCTGGTGGAGAGGGATTCTAAAATTTTGGCGGGAAAGTTGAGCGAGCCGGCGAAGAAGGTAGCAGGTTCCCCGCGAACGTAGGCGGTGCACCCGTAGTTTATGGTGCAACCCTTTCACCGGTGACCAGCGAACGTTTGCCCGGGAAGGAATGGCATTTGTGAACATAGCTGGCCAAACGGGCCGACCCGGCCCAGCTGCTAATCGGGCCGGCCCACCGGCATGCCAGACCCACTAGTCTGCCTGCTATTTGGCACACTGGGCGTTTTTTGCCTATTTTACCTGTTGGGTCATATAGAGATATATAAAAAATATAAAAAGGCCGTGTCGTGCTGGCCCGCGTGCTCAGCCTAGCATCCCAAGCATGGCCCAGGGCGTGCAGCGTGCCGGGCCTGGCCCATTTAGCTCCTGTCATGCCTTGCCCATGGCGGCCCGTGCTGCATGCCGGGCCTGGCCCGTTTAGCCCGTGTCATGCCTCGCCCATGGCCCGGCCTGGTTGGCACGGCCCATTTGGCCAGCTATATTTGTGAATGTTTTTTTTGCGAAATCATATGGGAGTCTTATTCCAAACTCACAGGGTACAGTTGAAAGGCAATAAGTCCTCACAACATGGAGGAGATCTGCACATCCACACCGTAGTACATGACTCGGTACGGCTATAGTTTGCCATACAATTTGCTACCCTGTTTTGAGCTCTACTAATTTTATGTGGAACAAACTCCCTTTCATTCACCATTGACTTGATTTCTGCTACTAGGTGTCCATAAGCCGAACGAGACAATTTTGGTTAGCGAGCATGGCAACTCCATTGCAGTCCTATTTTTCATTAGAAAATTGTCATGCTTGCGAACTATATTTGCCATCTTTGCCATCCTCGCGACAACTGAATTTTTCATGAAAACATTCGCAACTGTCAGCCCTCCCAATGAACGCTCGCTGATTATGGTTACCAAAAAATTACTTTACATGTTATCAAAATATTTGAAAATAATTTAAAGACATACTAGACATAATATACATCTAGGATACCATGAAATTTGAATCTAGATATGAAACAATTGCCTGAGAAATAAAAACAACAAATCCAACATTGACTATGTTCCTCGCAAAAAAACATTGACTATGTTTACGGGCCAGATTTGTGGTCTAACATTGGATAACTACTATTCAAAATATGAATTGACCATTTTGTTTCTCTAGATGTAGGTTGAATTTTAATCTAAGATTTTGCAACATGGCGAACATATATTATATTAGAATTGTGTTTCAAAATATGATTTGAGTATTTATAATCTCGGGTTGCATGGGATATGTTTTCAGGAGGGTTTTCAAAAAATTGGGTTGGCTAGGTAATCTGATAGTGGATCCCTTATCGCCGTCGAGGGGCAAACACCCCCTGGACTTAGTGGGATACCTAATGGGGGTGTTGGCGATAGTGACGAGACATATCTAGCGACGTGGTGGCAGGAAAAAGAGGAGACAAAGCGGCACAACTTGGTAGGAGCAACAAAGGGGGAGGAAGGGTGAGGGAAGGAAGGTGGCAATTGAGAGGAGCGAACGAGGGCATGGATGGTCATGTGGACATGGTGGCATTATAGATCGGACCTCTGTTGTACCTTTCTCCTTTGATGGATTCGGTATGTAGCATTGAGTGTTTTTTTTATTTTTAGAACTGAATTCGTACATAACAATTTTATGTTCCATGTTCCTTCCGTGTCTCACTTTTTCCTATCCTTGTCGCCCTCCCTCTTCTCTCCCCTCAACGAGTTCGTATCTTTCTCTTCGTTGCCATTCACACTAGGATCAACCACCACTATTAACAAGGTAGGCATGGTGGTAGTGCACGGGGAAGGGAGGTGCTGCGAGGGACCACTGTTGGGAAGAGAAGGTGATCGATGTGTGTGTTGTCCGATGTTCCTCAAATGGTGGGGAAATATTTTGACAATGAAGGAAACAAACATTATATATGTTTGATTCGTAAAATCCTACACGATTTTAGTTTGTAAAAGTGCGGGAATAGGAATATCATGCCCATTCAAATCCTACACGATTTTAGTTTGTTTAACTGTATCACAAAAAAATAAGGAATTTTTTCAAAAGGTTTGAGTAGATGCTAGATTTCCTATGAAATGTCGTACAAATGATTCCTTAGGAAAATTCTTATAGATTTAATCCTACACAACCAAAGGATCAACATACACAAATTTCTAAGGATTCTAATACTTCTCCCGCCAAAAAAAAAGGATTCTAATACTTCAAAATTCTTATAAAATTTCTTAGATTCAAAGAATCCCTAAAGGATTCAATCCTATGAATCAAAATATATAGGGAAAAAATTCTAAGGTTTTCAATTATCCAAAAGAGAACATTCGAATCAAATAACCTATTATGGGGAAACAGACGTTCCATATTTTAGGTGTTCTGTCTACTGTTCCCCTGATTATTGAACCCAAAAGGCTTTACCCTATTCATAATTTCAAATGGGTTGCTACATCTTCACCATGATTAGGGATGCAAAGTGGTGATACTTAGGATACCTTCCAACTCTCTCTAGTTCAATGAAATAAACTAAGTTTTTTTAAAGAAATTTTAAAAAATATATCGCTTTTAGAAATGTACTACTTCGTTTGACTGAATGAAAGAGGGCACGTAAGGGTACACCCCTGGCAACGATGACATCCCCTACTGGTGCTATCTGTGCGATGTGTTAGTCAACACTTTTTTAAATCAGATATATGAAAATCAAAGAGGCCAATTTCATCAAGGTAACAAATTACGTGTACACGTAAATGGCATCACTACACACATCAATGCCTTATTAAGAGAAATCGCCCAATGCTGTAGTTCATCTTATTATGCTTGCCTGGCGCAATTAAGTCTCGAGTCATCGGTGACAAAGGGCTTTTCCCCCTGACCAAAAGAGTGAGCCTGTGTAAATTACTGGTGAACCACAAAAATGATTTCTCAAAGATCATCATCAAGAGGTGCCGAGCAGCAACTGTGCAGCATTCCGTTAAAAAAATTGTTCATGCAGCTACCTGCCCAATAAGGCTTTGACGGATCTGATAAAGGTGCATGTGCCACACAAACGTTAACAGACCGTGATAGCAAGGAGAGAAGACATATCGCTAATTACGCAGTCATATAATATGCTCAACAGAATTTAAAGGCAGACGACCATGATCAAGTGGGGAACATCACAATGGACCCAACAAGAGCCTTTCTTTCTTTCAGGAAACAGCATACAGTAAAGGATCAAAGTTATATTTGTGTTGGATAACTGCAGGGATGGAACATGGAAGCTGTAAGTTGCATACGTTCACCAACAAGATAGTTTTACTATCCCCACAAAAAAAAGGCTTTACTACCAACCACAGGCACATCAAATACACTAAAATGCTAAACTTATTTGCATTATTTCCCATTGTGTACATTAGAATGTATAAATGTCAACCATGCAGGGGACATCAAACAGGATCACAATACATACCTCTGGTAGCTTCTTTCTGAAAACCACTTCTAGTCTAGCATCCAACGTGTTCTCAAAGACAATTTTTCCATCTTGAGAAGCCATTACAACTCCACCAGAGCTAAAAAGAGGTACAAGAGTAAGCTTTAGACACTCAGATCCACAATTTATTATTCAATGAGCATGATTTAGTTTCAGCTGGTAATAGCAACAAATCCAGAAGAAGATTTACTCAGGAATAAGGATCGCTTAAATGGACTAGTATAAAAAATAGCAATATCACTTAGAGAACATGCAGGATTGCAACACGAGACAATGCAAATACCCTTTAGCAAAAGAAAAGAGGGAACACAAAGAAGAATGCCGGCATGGCGGCAACAGCTTCTTCATGGGAGAGATGAGAATAACTTGTTCTTCCCTTCTTGCTTGCTTACTGAGTAAACCAATCTGCCTCCCCATCAAATAGCGGGGGCCAAACAAATAGCTTGAGGGAAATATTTAACGACAATTTGGTTATCATGTCACTGACAAACAGGCATGTGCATGTTGCTACTGTTGCACATAGCAGCTGTATGGAAAGATTCCTTCCTAATATCGTATTATAATCCATGCAATGCGAGACACTTTTTCAAGAATTCACATGAACATGCAAAAAAAACATTGAGAAAGAAGACACCCTTCTTCTAGTTACTTATGCAGTTACCATACAGCATGCACCCTTTGCATTTAAGAATGTTGCCTTCAATAACCAAATGCATAGCAAATACAGAATATCACGAAAAAATAAGCCACCTTACAACAGGTCCTAACATAACACAAGTCAACAATTTGACAAATAATTCAAATGCCAAATTCCCAATGCACACTCAGGAAGGAAGCGCTGATAGAACTTTGGATATAATATTGAAATGATGAATATGGGAGAACATTTGTGAACAGTTGCTAGTAGATATCATCAAATGCCAAATTCCCAATCCACAGAAGATTGCAAGTATTACCAGGAAAGGTCATGTTCCTTGTAATGACTGGGAGCAGGCGGCAGATAGACATGGCGGTCTACCATGATTTCAGGCGGATATACATTTGCTTTTTCCGCATACTCATTCCTCGCAGACTCCAAGACTGATTCAACAAGCTCAAGATCCTCCTTCCTGCAGCGGAGAATAACCGCCGACTCTTTCAGACGCAGCAAGCTCTGGTCAGGTGACTTTATACGTTAGATAATACTCAAGCATCATTTATGTTCAATGATACGGACACGATATCGCCACACATACCAACAGATGATAGTGCTATGCAAGTTGAACCAGTAAAAGAGTTAAGTCATAGAAAAGTTGTTGAAAATACATCCATATTTCATCGAGGAAAGGATGATCGTGTGCGCTAGTTATGTGGACCTGGTGTGGCCGGCCTAGCTAGTTGTACATCAAAACGT